GCTCAGAATACAACAGTCTAGAAGCATACACATATAAAGATACACAACATATCCCTCCAAACTGCCAATATCCCAAACCCCTCCTTTAAAGTGCAGGCATTGTACTTCCCATTTCCAGGACTCAAGTCCGACTATATGAAAATAACCGGTTTCCCTGAATCCCTTCACTAAATATTACCCTGCTCACACTCCAACAGATCGTCAGGTCCCAAGTACCATTCGTCTCCATTCACTCCTATCTAACACGCTCACGCACGCTTGCTGGAAGTCCAAGCCCCTTACCCACAAAACCTCCTTTACCCCCTCTCTCCAACCCTTTCGAGGACGACCCCTACCCCTCCTTCCTTCCCCTATAGATTTATATGCTTTCCATGTCATTCTACTTTGATCCATTCTCTCTAAATGACCAAACCACCGCAACAACCCCTCTTCTGCCCTCTGACTAATACTTTTATTAACTCCACACCTTCTCCTAATTTCCACACTCCGAATTTTCTGCATAATATTTACACCACACATTGCCCTTAAACAGGACATCCCCACTGCCTCCAACCGTCTCCTCGCTGCTGCATTTACCACCCAAGCTTCACACCCATATAAGAGTGTTGGTACTACTATACTTTCATACATTCCCTTCTTTGCCTCCATAGATAACGTTTTTTGACTCCACATATACCTCAACGCACCACTCACCTTTTTTCCCTCATCAGTTCTATGATTAACCTCATCCTTCATAAATCCATCCGCCGACACGTCAACTCCCAAGTATCTGAAAACATTCACTTCTTCCATACTCCTCCTTCCCAATTTGATATCCAATTTTTCTTTATCTAAATCATTTGACACCCTCATCACCTTACTCTTTTCTATGTTCACTTTCAACTTTCTACCTTTACACACATTCCCAAACTCATCCACTAACCTTTGCAATTTTTCTTTAGAATCTCCCATAAGCACAGTATCATCAGCAAAAAGTAACTGTGTCAATTCCCATTTTGAATTTGATTCCCCATAATTTAATCCCACCCCTCTCCCAAACACCCTAGCATTTACTTCCTTTACAACCCCATCTATAAATATATTAAACAACCATGGTGACATTACACATCCCTGTCTAAGACCTACTTTTACCGGGAAGTAGTCTCCCTCTCTTCTACACACCCTAACCTGAGCCTCACTATCCTCATAAAAACTCTTTACAGCATTTAATAACTTACCACCTATTCCATATACTTGCAACATCTGCCACATTGCTCCTCTATCCACTCTATCATATGCCTTTTCTAAATCCATAAATGCAATAAAAACTTCCCTATCTTTATCTAAATACTGTTCACATATATGCTTCAATGTAAACACCTGATCTACACATCCCCTACCCACTCTAAAACCTCCTTGCTCATCCGCATCGCTCATCCTTTTACATTTCATAATATATACAGGAGAAGGGGTTACTAGCCCCTTGCTCCTGGCATTTTAGTCGCTTCTTACAACACGCATGGCTTATGTAGGAAGAATTCTGTTCCACTTCCCCATGGAGGTAAGAGGAAATAAACAAGAACAAGAACTAGAAAGAAAATAGAAGAAAACCCAGTGGGGTGTGTATATATATGCTTGTACATGTATGTGTAGTGTGACTTAAGTGTAAGTAGAAGTAGCAAGACGTACCTGAAATCTTGCATGTGTTTGAGACAGAAAAAAAAGACACCAGCAATCTTACCATCGTGTAAAACAATTACAGGCTTCCGTTTTACACTCACTTGGCAGGACGGTAGTACCTCCCTGGGCAGTTGCTGTCCACCAACCTACTACCTAGAACAGATACAAATACAAATTTTAATTTCCTTGCAAGATTACAGTGAGATTATGTAATTACAATAATGAGTTGCAGTGCAAAGAGAGCCACTATCATGGCCACTATCATGACTAGTGCAAGCTAATCTGTATTTTAACATAAACCAGAAGCATGTAGCCAGAAAGTAAAGTGTACCAGCTTCTCTCCAGCTGCTACACTACCTTCTCCAGTGTTTCTTTTTCGGGTCACCCTGCCTTGGTAGGAGTCATCCTAGGAAAGTATGGAGGGAGGGGGTAAAAGAAGTTTTCTGTGCAAGGGGCTTGGACATGCAGCAGGCATGTGTAAGCATGTTAGATAGGAGTGAATGGAGACAAATGGTTTTTAGAACCTGACAAGCTGTTGGAGTGTGAGCAGCATCATAATTTGTGAAGGGATGCAGGGAAACCAGTTAGCTGGACTTGAGTCCTGGAGGTGGCAAATACAATCCCTGCACTCTAAAGGAGGGGTTTTGAGATATTGGCTGTTTGGAGTGACATCTAAACTATCATATCTGAGCACCCCTGCAAAGACAGTGATTGTGTGAATGATGGTGAAAGTGTTGCTGGTGAAAGTGTTTCTTTTTGTAAGTATTAATACAATATATTATTTATATTTTTGGGTGTAAATTTTTTAAAAAGATTTTCTAGATATTCTAGGAAGCCTGAATCATGTCCCATGTCACTAGGATTGCAGTGGCGACATGTCACTCCCCTGACTTATAGTCACCTGAACTTGTGTATTTTGAGATATTCTAGGAACCCCTGAATGTCTTCCATCACTAGGACCACAGTGGTGACATTCAGGATTTCAAGAATGTCTCAAAATACACAGGGTCAGGTGATTGTAGCTATAACACACACAGGTAATGACAACTTTCATACATAGCAACATATATGAGTTGCCAGGATAACCCAAGAAAGTCACTGGGAGTGACTTGTCATCACTGGGGTCCTAGTGATGGTAGACCTTCATGCTTTCTAGAATATCTAGGACTGTGGGGTAATTGCAGCTTAATCAGTGGTCTACTGTGTGTGTGCATGTGTGGGCATGGACACATACATAATGTCTGCACTGTGAAGGAGGGTTGGCAATATTTGCAGTTTGGAGAGGCATCTGAACTGTAGTATTTGCACACCTCTGCCAAGATAGTAATAGAGTGAATGATGGTGAAAGCATTTCGTTTTTGGGTGACCCTACGTCAGTGGGAGATAACCAGTGTGCAAAAAAAAAAAAAAAATACACACATACACACAAAATTTTTATATATTTTTTTCTGGTTCTCATTACAGTAGTTTTGTTTATTCTTTAATATATCCTGTCCTGTGCAATAATTGTCCATTCGGCAGAGCACTTCTTCAAAAACAAAAGAAGCTCTTTTTGTTCCTTGGTTCTTCCTGCCTTTAGAACTTTAGCTTTTTTGGTGTTCCATAATTTGGTTCTTTCTGATGTTGATGTTCTGCCTAATACTATAGTTTCTGACTTCCTCAGTATTATATTTAGTGTACAGTGGAACCTCAGTTGTCGACTGCATTACATGTCAAACAAATAAGTTTTTGAACGAGGAAGTTGAGAAAAAAATGTCCTGGTTTCATACGTTCTCTCAGTTGTCGACCGACAATGTGAGCAGCTCAGATTGACAGTGTGGGTCTGAGTCAGTGTAGCCATTAACTCGTGTGCTGCAAACATCTTTTGAGATTTTGTTGTGCATCTTGTGAACTTTTTTTTTGTTATTTTGCAATTTTGGTGCAATTTTTTTTATTGTGAAATAAGTCATCATGGCTCCAAAGAAGGATAGAGAGATGAAAGCAAAAAGAAAAGTGTTAAAAAGCACTATTGAGTTTAAAAAAGAAGTCATTAGAAAGTATGAAGAAGATAGGATTTGCATGGTTGATAAAGCAAAACCTTTTGGTAAATCAAAGTCTACCATTAACACGATACTGGGCCAAAAGGAAAAAACTAAAGCTTAACCTTTCAAAAGGCGCAAAAAAGATATTAAAAGCAAAGATCACAAATTATTGAGGCTGAAAACTCTTGTTGATTGGATAAACGAAAAACAGTTACATGGTGATAGTGTTTTAGAGGTCATTATTTGTGAAAAAGTGAGGCAGTTGCATGATGACCTCCTGAAAAAAGAAACAGAACAAGTGCTGAAACTCAATTCTTCAAGGGTAGTAGGGGTTGCTTTGATAATTTTAAGAAAAGAAGTGGCATTCATAGTGTGGCTAGGCATGGGAAGGCTGCCAGTACTGAAAAAGTGGCTGTTGAAAAGTATGTTATTGAATTCCAAGAGTATGTAGAGGCTGAGGGATTTGTAGATGAGCCTGGTAAAGGATATTGTGTCTCCGGGGAAGACCTTGGGCCTAGAGGTGACTGAAGATGATGTGGAGGAGTTGGTGGAAGAGCAAAGAACTGAACTCACCACAGAAGAACTTGTAGACCTTCAGAAGAAGCAGTAACAGATTGCAGCAGAGAAGCTGTCATCAGAGGAAGAGGAGGGATGGATGATGTGTCCATTACACTTGTCAAGTAAATGTGTGCCAAATTGCATAAAGTGCAGGAGTTTGCTGAAAAATACCATCCATTCAAGGCAGTGGCCATCTATCTCTCTAACAAGTATAATGAGAGTGTAATGTCTCAATTTAGAAAAGTGTTAAAATGGAGACTGAAACAAACCTCACTGGACAGGTTTTTAGTGAGACAAAGAACCAGTGAGCCAGAACAAGGTGTCAGTGTTCACGTGAAAAGAGACAAAGAGAAACAACACCAGAAGGACAGTTGTCTGACATATTAATAGAAGGTGACTCTCTTTCCAAATAGTAACATACCCCCCTCCTCTCCACCTCCTGCTTCCAGTGTGCCAGTAGCTCTCCTCTGATGGGCAAGAGGCAGTTAAATTTTCATTGACTGTACAGTAGTATTTCTTTTAGTATTCATTTTTACAGTTTTATGTAGTAGTTAGTACATTTTTAATAAATTATTATATTGTCATTTGGGGTCTGGAATAGATAAATTCTATTTACAATATACTTTATGAGAAAAATTGCTTTGGTTGTCGTCCATTTTGGCTGTCGAATCAACATCTAGAATGAATTAAATTTGACAACCAAGGTTCCACTGTATTTATCAGTTGCTATTTATTTATTCAAATGTAATTTTTTATTACTAG